ATTGAACTCAGCTGGTGGTAATTAGGCTCCTCTCGAGACTATAAAAGGAATGACTTTCCACACACTCATTGCAGGAATCAACATATTTACTAGATCTGGAGAAGCTATTGTGGCTAGCTTGGCAGGCTGGATTGCTGCCCAGGGCTAGTCTGTGTGTTAATAAATCCTTGAAGTATCTTTGTCCCAGCGTGCTTTGGTGTAGGAAGAGGGGGGTCAGAACAGGTACTCTAATTCAGAAACACTTAAGAATTTAACATCTACAAGTAGCCTCTTAAACTGAATAGGCATCTGTTGAAATTATGACACAATAAATGTAATAAAAACAAAATGCAAAGTGGCTGTTACTAACTTTCTTGGCACCACTTGAAAATTTCAAACTATGAGCAACCCTGCATGATTATGGCTCAGTTGCAGAAGAAAGATACACTTTCTCTGGTTTGAGCAACAACAAGTGAACCCCATGGCAGAATGGGACAGTTCACCACAGCCAACTCACCATGCTCAACTTGCCACAACCAATTCTCGATGGCCAACTCACCACTGCCAACATATCATGGGACAACCTGCCATGGCCAACTTGCCACAGGACAACCCAATGTGGGACTATTCAACAATTCAATTTAATTATTTAAAATAATTAAATATTATCTTCCTATGGCAAGATAGCCTTGGTTAGTTGGCTGTGGTGAGTTGGCCACAACAAGTTGGCTACGATGAGTTGGCTGTGCAAGTTGTCATAGACCCACCACATGTCGGGAAGAGCCGAGGTGGCACAGTGGTTAGAGTGCTGTACTGCAGCCACTTCATCTGACTGTTATCTGCAGTTCGGAGGTTCAAATCTCACCGGCTCAGGGTTGACTCAGCCTTCCATCCTTCCGAGGTGGGTAAAATGCGGACCCAGACTGTGGGGCGATATGCTGACTCTGTAAACCGCTTAGAGAGGGCTGAAAGCCCTATGAAGTGGTATATAAGTCTAATTGCTATTGCTATGTCAAAAATGGGAACCCAGAAACATCACAGCGAGACCAGCTGGGAAAAAAACAGGCTCTGCTGAGCCTCGCAGAAATCCAGCCAGACAAACCGCTGTCAGGAGGTCTTCAGACTGAAAACCCCTCCTGGAGGGACAGGGGAGAAGAAGGGACGGCTCTGATGTCTTAGAGCAGTGGTTCTCAAACTTGGCAACTTTAAGACTTGTGGACTTCAACTCCCAGAATTCTGGGAGTTGAAGTCCACAAGTCTTAAAGGTGCCAAGTTTGGGAACCACTGTCTTAGAGGAACCAGCAATTTCTTGGGAAGTTGGAGAAAAACCCTTCAAACTGGCAGCGGGGGTGGCGGCCATAAGTGAATGGCCGCTATAAAGCTGGGGCACCTGGACTAAGTTATTGGGCAGGAGTAGTGTCTGGAGCAGAGTGTTGGAACCAGGTGAGTGATTAACCAACTCCCAGAAAAAGAAAAAGCTGAACTTAATCTTAAAAAGGATCCCGAAGTGAAATTAGTGGCTATCTAAATGGCTTTTGGGGAATATTATTGAAAAAAGGTGGCGGGAGGGAGGGGACTGAGCACCAAAGCCTCAGAGGATTGTGTCTTTCACAATGTGGAAGGAAAAATTAACAATTAAAAGGAAGAGCCCTGGGGGAAGCCTCTTTTCTCCTTATCTGATTCTAGTCTCTGTGGATTAAAAGCATTTTTGAATAGCAATAGCAATAGCAGTTAGACTTATATACCGCTTCATAGGGCTTTCAGCCCTCTCTAAGCGGTTTACAGAGTCAGCATATTGCCCCCACAGTCTGGGTCCTCATTTCACCCACCTCGGAAGGATGGAAGGCTGAGTCAACCTTGAGCCGGTGAGATTAGAACCGCTGAACTGCAGATAACAGTCAGCTGAAGTGGCCTGCAGCACTGCATTCTAACCACTGCGCCACCTCGGCTCTTGAAGGCTATTGATGTCTAGCTGTTGGATTGTATTGCACTTTGGAGAGAGCATTTACCTGTGAGCAGAAAAGACTACGCTGGCTACTGAAGAAAATAACAATAACAGTGATGATGATGATGATGATGATGATGATGATGATGATGATGATGATGACGACGACGACAACAATGATAATAATGATAATAATGATAATAAAAAAACAACAGAGGGAAATCCTTCTCATTTTAATTTTATTTTTTTTCTGGATTTAAAGCACTTTGAAACCACAAAATAGTAAGGAAAGGAGAACAGGGAAAACTCTGGGGAAAGTTACTAGAATAATAAAAGTAACTACGCTGAAGAAAAGATACAATAACCAGAAAAATGGGGGAAAGAAAAAGAAGAAGTTAGGGAAAAAGGGGAGAAGAAAGAAAATGATTAAAACTGGGATTTTTAGGGAGCCCAAGAGAAAATAGTTAAAAGAAGAAAGGGAAAAAGAGTTATATTAGTAGGCTAAAAAGAATAGTAGTAAGATTGTTATTGTGATGTAACTAATTAAGAAATAAAGAAATGACAGTATATTTTTACTGGTAGAAAAAATGTGAAAGAGATGCTCTCTATGCTTAAATTGAATTAGAGGATGTATGCTGTTTATAGCAAAATATACCAATGGAGAAAATAAGAAATGAAAATTTGGTGTAATTGTGAAGGAGCAATTGACGATATTGTTTATGCATTAAATAAAAATAACTACAGGGCGGGGCATAACCTTTTCCTAGGGGGTCACAGCAACACTTGTAATAACAACACAAATAATTCATACACCATTCGAAAGCCCATCAAAAACTGAGTTTATTGACACGATTTAATAGTCAGTATGACCACCATTAGCCCTTCGAACAGCATTCAAACGAGGTGGATAAGAACACAACAAATCTTCAAACAGTTCCGTTCGATTTTCCAGATTTTTCAACACAGTTTCCAAATTCATTCTCAAAGTTTCAACCGAATATGTATAAAGATGAAAAATAATGGAAAAGATTAATTTGGCTGAAAGTGAAAACAAAACTATGATGTAAAAAGGACTATATAATTGAGAGGATGTAAAAGAAAAGACCTGGACAACTCTTTGTTTCTATAATATGTATAATTTGTATTAAAAAATAGAAAACCTTGAGAAATCTGTCAAAAATAGTCGCTTGCACTTTCATAAGGAAGCAAAATATTTTCAGAGTTCCTCCATGCTTTGTCACTAGTTATTTAAGGGAAATGCCCTGCATTAAAAAAAAATGTTATTTTTTTCCTTCCATAAAAGTTATATGGCATTGTTTTCATTTCAGTTGCTTCTGTATCTGTCCTCAATAATATGAAACCATTCAATCTCATATGTGTATGCACAGACAATAAAACTACAGCAAACAGTTGGCGTGTAATTGCTACAAATACAATATATTTATATGTATACGAAGAGAGATTCAGTTTGAAGATATTACCACTTGAAATCTTTTTAGTCTAACTCTAATTCTTTTCTTCTGGCATGCCTATGGAGATGGTCAATCATTCTGGAATCATTCAAAAATATTGTCAATTAAATGTGATTTCATAAAGTCTTTTCTTGTTGTAAGAGTTGCCCTCCTTTTGATTCAGTTGATTTGGTAAATGCTGGACTAGTGGAGATAGGTAAAGGTAAAGGCTCCCTTCACACATATATGCTAGTCTTTATCAACTCTAGGGGGCGGTGCTCATCTCTGTTTCAAAGCCAAAGAACCTGCGCCGCCCGAAGACATCTCTGTGGTCATGTGGCCGGCATGACTAAACACCGAAGGTGCACAAAGCGCTGTTACCTTCCCACCAAAGGTGGTCCCTATTTTTGTTCTTGCATTTTTACATGCTTTCAAACTGCTAGGTTGGCAGAAGCTGGAACAAGTAAACGGAGCTCACTCTGTTATGTGGCGCTAGGGATTCGAACCGTCAAACTGCCAACCTTTCTGATCGACCAACTCAGCAACTTAGTCACTGAGCCACCGTGCCTCTTTTGAGTGGAGATGGAAGGCATACAATTCTCCAGATGATGTTCAGCTAGAATTCCATTGTCCTTCACCATTGCTCATGTATAGAACCTAAAACATTTTGAAGGTTACATCTGTCCATCTTGGGCTGGGCCTTTATATGTTGGGGGCCTTCCAAAGTTGTGAATACTAATTTTGAAAATTCTCAACAATAGTCCTACTGGATAGGCACTGAAGTTCAAACATACAGAATTGGAGGCCAATGAAGTTGGGTAAAGCTGAACTAGAGTGAGCTAACTAATCTTCAGGTAGGAGATGCTAGGAAAATAAGTTAGTCCAGCTTGACAAATGTTTTGATATTCCACAAAGATAATTGTCTCCACAAATTCTGGATTCTTACACAAAATACACATTTGTTCTTATCAGTATAAGAATCATTTTCTTTAAAAAAAAAGATGAATGTGCTTGGAAAGAAATGATAATGGTGAAATTAAATAGTTCAGATCTTGGAACCTTCTGAAGTTTCCGTTTGATCAGAACAATTTTCTTCCTCCTTGAAAACTATCTGAAGCAATTCTTTGATGCTTCTCTGAGTTTCCCCCTTCTGTCTCCCCACTAGATAATAGATCAGAGGGTTAATGCTGCTATTGATACAGAGACATAGGTTGCCATAATGTACATGGTTGAAAAGCTTACCCTTGGAAAAATACAGGTTAAAATAGAAGACATTTAGTGGAAAAGCCAACGCTAAAAAGAAGAAAAGCGTGAGCAAAATAACTGTCAAAAGCTTCCTCCGCCTTTGGCTTTTAGATATGAAGCAGATTTTGATAAGCAAGAGGACACTGGAGATGGTCATAAGTGGGAAACAAAGCACAGTATTAATAATGAATGGATATATCAGAACATATGTCTTTTTATCTTCACCAACAGCCACAATTATGAGGTTAATTGAAGAGAGGATAAAGGAAATGACCCAGATGACAGCACACACATTAGTGAACATGTGCACTGGCCGGTGGCATCGATACCAAATTGGGAAAAGGACCGAAAGACACCTGTCGATGCTGATGACAGTCAGGAGAAATTGTCCCGTGCTGTGCATTAACAGCACGACCATTTGGAAGTATTCATAGGGAAAGCCACAATAGGAATTGGTAGGAAGCCCATGGATTTCGATAATCATCTCAAAGGTGAGAAAACCAAAGTCTGCAACAGAGAGGTTGAGAAAATAAATGGCAAAAGTGTTCCTCTTAATGGAGGAGCCCAGCAACCAGATCACAAGGCCATTGCCCAACATTCCCAACACACAGAAAAGCATAGTGAAGATTGCAACAATAATCCGTTCTGTGTATGTGCTGGATTCATAGCGTATGTTTGTGCAGTTGGGCGTTGCCTGCTTTTCGGCTGAGTAATCGAGTGGAAGGATGGATGTCATTTCCATGATGCTTCAGCCTTCTCTGTTCGTTCTATGGCTGCAGATACTCCTGCTGGGAACAAAAGAGAAACAGAGGGCATTAGCCTTGGGCGCGGTTCCTAAAAATGCATATTGCAAGGTAATTCTCTAGATTAGCATTAGGAGCCCTGGTGGCATGGTGATTAGAATGCAGTATTGCAGGCAAATTTTGCCCATAGCCAGGAGTTCAATCCTGATGAGTGGTTAGAATACATATTACAGGCTACCTCACTGCTCACGCCAGGAATTTGATTCTAAATGGCTCAAGGTTGATTCAGTCTTCCATCATTCCGAGATCAGTAAAATGAGGATCCAGATTGTTGGGGGCAATATGCAAATAATGCTCTACTTTGTAAACTGCCTCAAAAGTGCCATAAAGCATTATGGGGTGGTATGCACCATACCATATCTGGAAAGACCAGGTTGCCCTGNGAACCACCTCCCCACTTACCCATTTTCTTGGGCAGGAGGTAGACGTCCTGCTTGTAACGGCCCTCGGGGGCATTGTACAGCTCTATCAAGGCCAGCGCCTGCAAACCGGAAAAAAAAAAGAAGGAGAAGCGTTGAGGGACCACCACCACCCCCCGCGAGCCCGGCGGGACCCCCAAAATAAGGAAAGCAGAACGGAGAAAGGAGCAGAGGCCGGGACTCGCCCACGTCCAGGTTTGAAAGAAGAAGAAAAAAGAACCGGACAGAAAAAGCTAGAAGGCAGCCGATGTCCTGGACGGCGTCTCCTCCTCCTCCTCCTCCTCCGCTGAGAACAAGTCCGGGACCTGCTGTTCCTTCTCCTCCTCCGCCCCATCTGCTCTGCTTAGCGTCGAGCAAAGAGCCTCCCCTTTGATCCGCGGGCGCCCATTCGCAGCCAAGAATGAAACCGCTCGAGTTTCACAACACGCGGACGGACTGCGTCGTCGTTTCCACGGGGCAACTCGGGAGCATCCTCAACCCGTTCACAAGACGGTAAAGAAACCGGCCATCATCGGGCACATAGAGATCAACGACGTCTACACACCGTTCAAAAGCCGAAAAGGAAACACAAAGACCAAAAAAGACCATCTTCTCTAGGAGCCAAGACCCAGATAAAACCGAGATCTTCTGGGTTCCTTGATTAGGCTGTTGTTTTAACGCGTGACAGTTTGTCTGAGTTGTTCGTTTCTCGATTGGGGAGGATGAAAACTCTCCTTAATTGCACAGCCTAAGGACCGACTGCACCATAGCTTCAACTCTGAGCATCCTAAAGCAAACCAGGTTCAAAAAAAAACTGATGATGTTCCCTAGTTGGGTCGTGAAACGTCTGCAAGAAAACAGCCGAGCTCAGAGAGCACTAAGGACCCCACAGTCCGTCCGTCCTTCCCACGTTTACACCCTTCTAGCACTGATGATGTTCCCTAGTTGGGTCATAAGACATCTGCAAGAAGACCACCAAGCTCAGAGAGCACCAAGGACCCCACAGTTCTCTTCCTCCTCCTCCTCTTCCTCCTCTCTTCTACTCTGTAAAACCCACTCCCTTCTAGCACTGATGATGTTCCCTAGTTGGGTCACGAAACATCTGCAAGAAAACTTATCAAGCTCAGAGAGCATCAAGGACCCCACAGTTCTCCTCCTCCTCCTCCTCCTCCTCCTCCTCCTCCTTTTCCTCCTGCTCTTCCTCTTCCTCCTCCATCACCTCTTCCTCCTTTTCCTCCTTCACCTCTTCCTCCTCCTCTT